CATTATTTTGTTATTTTTGATCATTTTCAATTATTTTTGACTTGTTTTAGTTACACGATTATAATTATTCGATGAATTTCTATTATTTATCATCAAGAAAAAGCTAAGAATATTTAATAACTGCTTGAATTATTTATTTATTTCATTCTTATACAAATCTCAAATTTTAAACATTAATTGTTACTTTTGTAAAATTTGAAAAAGAAAAGACTGGAATGTGCAAAGTTAATGAGTTTAATTTATTTTAATGAAAACTTTTATTTTTATTTTAGTTCACTCAAAAATGAAGTAAAGTCTTCATTTTATTTTTAACTAAAATGTTTTCTTTTGCATATTCAATATTATTAAAAAAGATAAAAATATAATATTTATTGTACCTGAAACCTTTTACTTTTATTAAACCCTTAATGAAAAATTTATAATATATTAAAGTGTACTTAATTAAAAGTGTTTTATTGTATATTCGTGAATTACTTTTATTTTTTGACTCCCAAAGTAGTCGTTTTGGTCCTAATTGGACTAGTATTTTTCTGTCTATTTTGAACTAGTATGAGACTGGTATATTTCTGACCGAAATCTGACAATTGCCATCGCGTAGGACATCCCCATGTTAAAAATACCAGTTGATTGCATGGAAAAAAGATAGTTGGCTGACTAGTTGGGCATGCGGTTCATACTAGTTGTAAGGTAGTTTACAACTAGTACGTTTGACTACAGGGATACGCTGAGCTGTTGGAGAATTGCGTCATTGGTTCTCCAGTCAACATTTATTCCAAGTCAGAGAAGATATACAGATATGTTGGTACATACACACAAATAAAGCCCAACACAAACAGTATCAACAAAAATAAAAAAATTAAAAAAAATAATAAATGGGAACGAACGAAAATAAGAATGAGAAATTTACAAACATAAAAAAGCACAAATGGTTGCAGACGAAACCCCAATACATACATATATGGCAAGACAAAAATGAATAAGTGAGAATAAAAAAAATAAAAAAATTCGAAGGGGTCCGAAGAAAATATATAGAAAATATGGACAACATGCCTGAGGTGTGTGTGGCAAGGTGGCCGGCAGGACGTGGCTGGAATTTTTCAGGCTTTTGTTTTCATACGACTTTTCGTTGCATTTAGCTTTCGTAATTTCTGTAGGTACATGCATGCATACATACATACATACTTATGTATGTGTGTTATTTTTGTTTTTAAGCAGGCTATGTGTTTACGAATTTAAATGGAACGTGATGGTACATACAGTGAGATGAATTGAATGAAAAAGAAATGCCAAAAAGAGCTAACCAAACAAAGCAGCTGCAGTGAGTTAAAGGGTTGCCTGTGTTGAGCATTCAAAACAATTGCATGTCTCGGTGCACCTCCTCCTCCTCCTCTTCAAATGTACCTGCATACATACATGCATATGTTTTTATGCATAAATTTGTATGATTTTATTTTTTAGTTGATCAACATATGTATGTATGTTAACGAAAGTGAAAATTACATATGTATGTTACATACATATATACTGGATATGTACAATAAAAAAAGTTTAATAAAGGTATGTAGCTAAGGATGACAAGGGAATGGCTTTTCTCAATACTGGCAGGAGGGAGCGTAAGCGCATAAAATGCAACAACCACAGCTTTCAAGGTGAAACCCAAAAAATTGCTAAATGGTCGAGTACAGCCAGACACAAAACAGGCCAAGTATTTTTATATGTACGTACATACAAATCCATACATACACCGGAAATAATAAAAATGCAGCCGGCTAGAATATGTAATGCGATTTTTTTTTTCTTTTACCAACAACTTCGCGATGAGCTGCAGACTAAAAATTTTGAATATATGTAGCTCAGAACCGGGCTGCATCGAGTTTTAAAAAAAGATATAGACGATTTCAGTTTTACACTTATTTTGTCGCCGGTTAAGCTGTTAAGCTAATGATATTTTGTCTGACAACGCTGAGATAAAGTTAAGTTAGTTCATACAGTTAAGATACGAGTAAGCTATCGCACGGCGCTGAAGATGGGATAAATTAATGGCTATCGGCCAGTTGAGTTAAAGTAGACAGGGGCGATCGTTTGGTGCATGCAAACAGATCTGAACAGTTCGTTCGATTTTCAAAAATTGGGTGTCAAATTAGAGGCCTGTAGTTGTGCAATAATGTTTTTGTTTTAAAGAGGGTTGCCACCTGTTAATAACTTAAATTCAATTCAAATTATTTAAAGAGTTCACTGAATTATTAAAAAATTTATACCAAACGAAATGGTTTTGAAAAGGCATTATTTCTAAACTACATATAGGAGGGTTGCCAACGGTTTGAAAGGTCAAATTCAACCTTATTTAAGGGTATTAGCTACATACATATATGGGTGTCGCACACAAAGGCTTTAAGTAGGGTTTAGTTAGAAAATACTTCTTTTAAAAGTTGAATTTATTTAAATTATAGCTACACAGTTTATTTGAAATATTAAAATATGGGGTCAAACGAAAAAGTGTTAAGAAACTTTTAGGTTAAACATTTAGAGTATTTTTTGGGTGTTTGAAGAGCGTTTAAAATGTTAAACTCAAATTATTTAATAAGTTAAATGGATTACTAAAAGTATGGAATCAAAGGAGCTGGGTTTAAAGAGCTACATATGTGTGTAGGAGTGTTGCCATCTGTTTGATAGGACAAATTTAAACTAACCTAATTTAGTAAGTTAAATGCATTATTAAAAGGTCAGTATCAATAAAAATTCGTTTTAAGGAACTTTATTTAAGTGTGTGTAGGAGTGTTGCCACCTGTTTAACAAGTCAAATTCAACTATAATTAAGGGAACTAGCACAAAAATTAAATAAATATCAATATGGGTGTCCGACACAAGAAAAATATTTTGAAGAAGGTTGCCACCTGTTTGAAAAGTCGTATTGAATTAAATTATACATAATATGGGTGTCAAACGAAATCGAAAATTTTCATGAAAATGTCACTTTATAGGGCTCTTTACACTTATTTTATTTTTTATGAATTAGGTTATTAGAAAACTTTTAGAGTTATTTAAAGATGGTTGCCACATGTTTTCAAATTTAAACTGAAATTATTAAATTACTTAAAAGAATTACGTACTAAATGGTGGGTATGAATGGAAATGGGTTTTAAAGAGCTTTATTTGATGGTGGTGTTGCCACCTATTTAAAAAGTAAAGTTAAGCTTAATTAATCGGTTAATACGAAATATGTATCATAATGTCAAACGTAAGATAGTTTCAGTTTGCACATACTTTTGAAAAGAGTTGCCATCTGTTTGAAAAGTGGAATCTAGTTTAAAAAAAAAGTTATATGAAATATTATTAGATCATGAAAGCTGTAGTTTGAAAACATTTTTGATTAGACTTGCCACTTATTCAAAAAGTCAAAGGTATACGATTTTCACAACCTTTTATACCTTTTAGTCTATGTAGTTATAGAAACATGATATGTAAACGCTGTCATATTTATAATGACTAAAATTTACTCACATGGTGTTCTTTGCAAACGTCGTAGCTGGAGACGGTATGCGAGATCGACATAAACGTTGAAATAGTTGTTACAGAATTAACCAATTTTAGTTGGGCGCGAGTTTTCTCTCGACGGCCTCTTGTATTCTAGGGTTACCAATTTTATTATTTAATTTTTTCGTATGCCTTATTAGCCTTCCTTTTGGATAGTAATCATGTTTGTTTATAAACATATGGTGCGAGTGCGTACATATTCACATATGTATGTATGCACTATCAAAATACAAGTGCACATATGTATATACATACATATGTATGTATGCACAAATGCGCGATCATGCATTATTCGTGGATCTTATACGCATGTATGTATCTGTCTCCCCTAAACGAGTATATTTTAACTGCTGTTTTTATGTTCTTGTTTTTTATTTTCATTTTAAATATGTCTATGCATATACATAAGTAATTTTATCTGGGTTATGCACCGTAGTCACCCAAAACGGGTTCTTTGTTTAATTTTATTCTCTTTGCACATAATTTGCTCCAGTTTTTCGTATTCTCGTTGCGCATTGCCTTTTTTTATTTACCGGGAAGTTTTTCAAAGTCAAGGTTACACAAAGTGTCGTTTTTTTTTTGTATGCACATTTTGTGGCATTTTGTTACGTTGTTACCCATACGCTGAAATTTCGTTGTTTACACGATGCTTACATTACGATTCACACTTTTTAACATCGGTGGCGTTGGATTTTTAACACATTGAGCTTTTTAATTAAATTTGCATAAATATCTAGCGTCGATTTAGTTCACATGGGTAGATTATCTATGCGTATAGACGATGAATCAATTATGCTAATTCACTAATTTAATTTAACGATTTAAATTAAAACGTGCTCACATTAGGGTGGCCCTTAAAAAATATCACCATCCAAAATTTTGTATGGAGCGACCCTTGATTTTGTTATACGCACAAAATTCCAAATTTTAAACAATTATTTTGCGGCCGCTAGATACCAAGTTGTGAAAAACTTAAAAATTAGAAAGCATCGCAAAAATTCGACAAAATTTTTCCTTTGACCAACTATAACTTTGCGTACTGAAACCTATTCATATAAGTTCTTAATTTTCACGAGTTTTTAAACATTAAAATTTTTTTGCAAGTTCTGCTAGCGAATGCTAAACATTTTTTGAACATTTTGAAATTTGCACGGATGTCTCTATTTTGATAGAACCACCATAACTCACAGATATGTACTATTAACTTCATAGCTGAAGGAAGATCCATTAATTACTACATATACATTTATAGTAAACACTTTAAAAATACATATGTACATACATTAAACATCCCGAGCTAATAAAAGCGAGATAAAAAAGAGTTAAAGGAACACTTCAAAAAGTTTTCCTGGAAAGACTTTATCAGCTTAATCAAATGCCACGTTTTTCCGTTACTTGTTGTAATTTTTTTATAGTAATAATAAAATTGATATATTTAATAATTTATATGTTGGTACTGTACTCACTTTGCACCGCCAATTGTTGTTGATGTGCTGCTGCTCGCTGTAAATAAATAAAATAAAAAATAGTAAATATTGCAAAAAATGATTTTTAGTTGCAATGAAAAGAAATATTTTACCAAATTAAAATTTAAAAGACACGGAAACTTAAAAAATTCGATTAAAATTTGTTTGGAAAAAGAAAAATGTGTTTATTATATTGGACATACAGTGACTCAAAAAGGTGTTCAAAAGTTGATGTTTTAACATTCACAATGCTTTATAAGCTAAAATTTGTTTGTGTTTTTTGTTATATAAATATTTTTAATGCTTTATACAAAATTTAAAAAAATTCAAAAAGTTTTCCTCAAAATTTCGAACTTTTTAATATGAATTTTTTGAACATTTTTGGGTATGCAGTTTTTAGCACATAATCATGTTGGCTTTGGTATATAAAAAATAACAAACAAAATATTAACTTGAAGATCATTGTGAATATTAAAGAAAATCAACAGGTAAACATTTGTTTGAGTCACCTGTATATTCAAATTATTTTTTGAATATATTTTTTTTCTATACTCTATTCCTGGGTGTGACGGTCGGCCAACTACAAGAAAACAAATCGTCGTTTGAAGTACAAAACTGCGTACAGCGAAACACCACCCACTATTAAAGAAATTTAAAAAATTTTATACCAAAATTATATTTGCTTTAAAAATTCATAACTAGAAACCAGATCTGACGTAAGCGATCATCGGTGATACACTCGCCTTTTGAACCTTCTAGTTAAAAGTTGAGTTAAAAGTTAGTATACAGCTTGTTCTAATATAATATTCAAAATTATTTCCATTAAAAAAAATGTTCACAAATTTTTTATGAAAATAAAGTTTATTCTATAACGTAACCTTACAAATCAAAGTTTCATACTTTAAATAAAATTCATAGAAATTAAAAAAAAAAATTATCAAAATTTCAAACTTTTTATTGAGAATTTATTTAAGAATTAAAACTTTTTTTTATGCAGGGTGTTGCACATTTTCTTCCCTATATCGCATGATTAGTATTTATTTTTATATGGAAGAAAATGCTCAACATCCTCAACAAAAAAAAAAAATCTCAAAAATCAGCGGTAATTTTTTTAGACTTGAAATTTGCACTTTTTGTACTAGAATTGCATGTGGTATAAAACAGTGTGCATACTAGAAAAGTTTCTTAAAAATCTAAATAAAAAGTTTTTAAATTTCAATGAAAATTCTTGACATTTTTATGAATTTTATTTAAAGTATGAAACTTTGATTTATATGGTTTATATTATAGAATAAACTTTATTTCCATAAGAAATTGGTAAAAAAAAATTTTCATAAAAATAATTGTGAATATTATATTAGAGCAAGGTATATATACTAACTTTTGACTCTGACTGTACATACCCTACGGACTTATTATTTTTTATTGGAAATAAAAATAATTTTACGCTTTTTACATTTTGCAGCAACATTCGTACACCGCTACGCTCCAGCGCCTGCACATCGAGCGATTGGCTGCGGCCACGCGCTGTTTTGGACTGTGGCGGCGATGAGGTCGAAGACGATGATGAGTTGGCATAGCGGGAGATCCAGCGTTTGACAGCAGACATTTTTAGTGTTTTTATGTGTATATTATTTTATATAATTTTTTTTGCACTATTTAAATTAGTTCAATTGTCTAAACTTTTATCACATTGCTAAATTTCTTCAGTTTGATGACAAAAAAAAAACATATTTTCACTTAGTTTTTATATAACTTTTCCATGAATTTTTAATTAAATGCCATTAGAAATTTAATTTAGTGCAGTTTTTATAATTAATTTTATTGAGTTTTTATTTTTTTCGTATTTTTGGGTAATTATGTTACTTTCTTTCATTAAATTCTATATTTTCTTTTTTACATATTTATTTTTATTTTGTTTTATTTTAATTTTGCTAATTGACTAGCTTTGTACATTATTTAAATATTTATTATCAAATTTTATTAATTAACTATGACTAATTTCAATTAACAACTTTTGTTGTTGATTCTTTTGGAACTTTAAGAGATCACAGCACGTAGATTGCGAGCAATTTTGGCACATTGAATTTGACGTCACATTTGTGTTGATTTGCTTTACATAATTATGTTTTTGGTGCTTGAAGTATTAATTTTTTTTTTTAATTAATTTATTGCACTTGTTTTCTCTAATATTCCAAAATCATATTTTGTTGAGCAAGTTTTTTAAATTTTCCTAGTTTTATATGTATTCGTCGGCGCACATTTTTTACTTTATCTGTTTGCAAAAATATTTGGAATTTTTCAAAGCATTCCTTAATTTATTTGCTTTATTTCCATGTTTTTTATTTTTTGTAGAAAGGTTTATTATTTTAAAAATTTTCCTGCTCGATCATCTAACAAAAATATTTTTAATACATAATTTGGAACATTTATTAAAAAATGTATGTAACTCACTTTGAATTCAAATTTAGTGGGGTTGAAATTCCCTCGGAAGTGAATTGCAGAAGCTGCGTGAATGTTTTTTTAATAATATTTAAATAATTTTAATTTTCAACCATTCCATACGCTTAAACTTTTCTTTAAAATGCAATTTTAAAAACTTTAGAGTGCATAGACAACATTGCACATACAAACAATACATACAAATATTTCCGTTATCTTTACTTGAAGACTGTTAACCAAAAGCTTTTGACTGCCTGCTCTGCCATTGAAAAGTTTAGCTCTTCATCAACAGATGTCGCTCGCATTGCTGTTGCCCGCGCATGTGTGTGAAATTGAATCGCGTGTGTTGGTGTTAGTAAGCGCATTTCCGGTAGTTATTTCGAAATTGCTTACAGCTAATCAAATTGCATTTTTGGAGTAAAATTTTCAAAAGTCGCATACTTTATATATTATAAAATTTTATAATTTTTCTGATGTAAACATTTTAAGTACTTCAAATGAATATATGTAAGTAAGTATATACCGGGCTTGAAATTTAAGCTCACTGCTACTTTTTTAAGAAGCAGGACTAGGTGCTCGCGAAATTTTAAATAACCAACTTAAGCTTAGTATACAGGGTCTAGATTCTCTAACGGTAAGTTCAAATCTGAAGAAATTTTTTTTATAAATTTTTTTTTGCCTGAAATGCACTTTTGCTGTAAATTGCCTTACGTTTTCCCACAAAATTAAAATTTTGAAATAATTCTGTATATTATAAAACGCGCGATGTATTCATTTGTAGGTTAGGGTGGTCCAATATGTGAATATGTTTTGAATATAATTTTTTCGAATTAATTTTAATATTTTTTTTTATATAAACTATAATTCATTTTATAGCAAAAATCATATCAATACAAGTTTCACACTTTGTAGAAAATTAAAAAAAAAATCATAAAATTTTCATACAAAATTTCACACTTTTTATGCAGAATAATAAAACACTTTGGGTATGCAGTTTTTTAGCCGGTGCTTTATTGATGGTGCTGCGCATTTTCTAACATATAAAAATGCGATAATTCGTTACATGGAAAAATGGGCGCAACACCGTCAAGAAAAAGAAATTACCAAAGTCAACGGTAGCTTCTAGCCACTTCATACTTGCACTTGGATTACACCAGAATTGAATGAGCTATAAAACTGCATACGAAAAATATTTTTAAAAGTTCTGAATAAAAAGTGTGAAAGGGTCATGGAAATTTCATGAATGTCCCAACGTTTGAAACTTGGATTTACATGGTTTTTGTTATAGAATGAACTATACTTTTATAAAAAACATCAAAATTAATTAAAACAAGCAAATAGTGAAAACTTATCAATAAGTGGGTGATCTTACTAATATGCCACCCACTATATGCATAAACAAGTCTCTGATATACATACATAGGGGTCATTCCATACAAAATTTACAACGCAATATTTATTTTGGCGTGAATTATTATTTTTTTTCTCATTGATTATCGAAAAAAGAAGGCACCTATTTGTTTATTTTATCATTATATCATTATTCGAAAATCTCCGAAATTTTGAACTCACAGAAAACTATCTTCTTTCAAATTTTTTGCAGTTCATAAACTATTTGTCGGAGAATATCAGCTAAGTAAACAAAATGTATGTAATTACATCGCAATTTTTTAATGCAAAAAACAATTTATTTAAATCTATCCCACACTCTAAAACAAAGCCGAGATAATTACGCGCATTCTGATTACTTAACTGATTTTCTTCGACAAATAGTTTATCTGCAAAAAATTTAAAAAATATCCTCGTTGTGACTCCAAAATTTCGGAATTTTTTGCCAAAAATTTCGAAGATCATGATGAAATAAAAAATAGGTGTCTTCTTTTTTTCAATTACGAATGTAAAAAAATATTTCACGCCAAAAAATATATTGAGGTGTAAATTTTGTATGGAATAACCCATATGAACAAAAATATTATATTTTTTTAGAGAAACTCTTTCCTATGCAAGTACTTATTTATGAAAATTAAAAATACCTTTGCTTATCAAGATTTTTATAACTTTGGTAGATATTCTTCCCAACACGTTCGTGGACTTGAAACACTTATTGTAATTTTTACATATTTTTTTTTAAAACGTAATAGTGTAATTTAAAATGAATGCAAGCACTAATTATTTTTTTTATATCATCCACATGTTGATATTTGCTAAAAATTTACATACATATATATATGTATGTATATATTATGAATCTGTGTATATTTGTACATATTTCTAATTGTCAATTTTGAACTATAACATCATCCAATTTCGTTGTAAAATTAAATTTCCCCCTTTTAATTGTGCTCATTTCGGTAGATGAGCGATTACGTTTTCTTTTTATAGCTAATTTTTTGTTATATAAATCTTTATAATCTACGGCCTTAAGTGGCAGTTAAAAATGTAGATTGTAATTGTGCACGCTTTGAAACATTTAGCGCAAGCTAAAGTGGAATTTGGCGATTTAAAATGCAAATTTG